GCCAAAACTACACATCGCACGTGAATGGTGTTTGTATGTGGTAGTAGCCCCAAGTCTCCATTCGTGCACCAGGGGGGTTGCGTCTCGATAGCTATAAGGGTGCGGGAGATATGGGGCTGAAAGTGGTTGAAAGTGGCTTTCTATTTCGAATGTTTTGTTCGAATTTGTTCGAATTTAATTCGAACATAAAATTCGAATATTGGTTCGATTATAGAACGATTGTAAACGTTCCAGAAACGTTGAAAACAGTTCGTTTCACTTGACGTGAACAGGAGACGTTCAGAAATAGAATCGGGACCAGGTCTCTAATTAGTCTGGAAACGGGAGACCTAATTCTTGCATTCTGTGAAAACGGATAAGATTGGCTGTAATGTAATTATCTTAATCTTACTATCGTTACTTTTTAAAAACCCAGCGAAGCGGGTCCTTGCAGCTTGTTATAAATAAAAATTATCTTCTTCATGCAAAATAATTTGTACATAAAATAGTTTACTTTCTTTTTAATAAATTAAAAATTTTTTCCATCGTCAATACCATCATTTACAATAGCCTAATACTAAATAAATTTCATAAATAGAACTTGAAGACAGGAAAAAAAAAGTTAAAACTTTATATAGACGATTCTTCTTATTAGCATTGTAACTTTACAAGTTGGAAATTAATAATTCACTTTCCAACTTGTAAAGTTGTAATGTGTTTTAAATTTGTTACGAAACAAAATATTATATTTTATGACATTTATATTATATATACGCACAGATAGATTCGTAACTTATTATTATCTATTTTATATCAAGAACTGATTCCTGCATACAGAAAATAATTCGAGAAAAATTCAAATCGTGTACCGTGTTGACAATAGCCCACAGGTTACATACAATTATCGATTCGGACAGAGTACTGGTAAGTTTCTTCTGTTTATAATAAATAATAACAATTAGTTTTTAATTACACATTTGAAACTTCTAGGTTTTAGATAATGGAAAACTTCAAGAATTTGACAGGCCATATAAATTACTGAAGAATGTGAATGGTAATTTTTATAACTTGGTAAAAAATTCGGGAGTTCCTTCCATGAATGAGCTATTTAAAATTGCTAAAAATAAATATTATGTTCAAGAATATATTGAAAGAACGAGATTATAATACAGTGGATTTTCCTCGATACGTATTAACTTTTTGTGGATGTCGTGCTGTTTTTATATTATCCTGTATTCGGAATCATCTGTTATAAGTGCAGTTTCTGCATGACATTTAGGATATAGAATTGTTAAAATGTTTAGTAAAAACTTAAATAGTATTTGTGATTCCTACTGTTAAATTTATGTGTTAAACATTAGTTTAATGTAATCAGTATATTTGTTTAAATAATGTTGTTAGAAAAATTAAGAATGGGTTATTTACAGAAAAGTATTAAAGATTAAAAATATGTAAACAAGAAAAAATGCGTTTATTGAAATATTTTATGACGACTTTTTTTACAAATATTATGAGGAAAAGTTTCATTGAAAACATCAATCTAATTATGCATCTCAGTAATAATTTGCATCATTGTTATAAGCAACAATAAAAATAAATATGTTTTGAATATATTTTCAATATGTATTATCTTACTTTTGGTGTTTAAAATTTCATCAACGTTTTCAATGAAAGTCAGGGAATAAATTGACTTTTTGATTATTTAGTGTGAAAGCCGCACAAAATTTTTTATTTGGAGTGAACTTGAAAATGATGTTTTTTAAATATACGAAAAGTAATTAATACTTGATGATGAATTAAAATAGGTTAATTAGTAATATGGACCGTTTATTTTGAAAGTGGTGTAAGTNCACGTGAATAAGTTGAAGTTACATCCTTCTAACAGGAAAAGTAACTTTCGTTATCATGGAATTATAACAAAACCTGCCAATTCAATATAAATGGAAAAAAAATATTATATGGAATTCAACGAAAATGAAAATTTGCTTGATAATTCAACTACGCTTGTTGGAGAACAATAAAAACACTACACTCAACAAGCCATCAATAAAACTCAACTGCCTAACTTATAACCAAAGTCTCCTTTTAATTTGTTTTTAAAAAAAAGCGCTTGACAAACTTGCCCCGCATGCCGAAGTTGCCCCGATCTCCCCTATATATTTCTTTATAATAGAGTATATTTTAAGTAGTATAATTATCTATAATTTTAACTCTGTAAACATATATGCTCTTCATTTCAATTTAGTAGTGGCTTACCCTTGTACATCGTGTTTTCTTTAGCAATACAGTTGTTCTAGTAATGTATCTAACACATTTCGGTTAATGTATCTAACATCATAACACATTTGAATTAAAATAACGTGACTTCCGGTTTGCAGTATAGTTAAACGGGCCATCCTGCCAATAAGGCTCATCTCTATATATCACTGCTCTCGAGAATAAGAATATACAGACAGACGACAGTGAAAATTTATAGGTGCACAATTTTTATCAAATTGCAGCGCAATCGATGATCTTAAGCAGGAAATGGCTATATATATTATTTTAAAGTAAAATTACGTATATTATAGAGTTTATTTGGCAAAAAACAGCCTTGTTATGATAAAGAAAACACAGAATAATTTTTTTTATATAAATAAGTCTTTCATAATTACACATCGACCTATTTAAGCAACTCGAATATTATAAATTAATTTATAAAAACTGATTTTTCTTATCACGTAACTTAAAAAAACTTCACAAATGAACTCGATGACTTTAAACACTTGGATGTAGTTAATACTGATATCGTTTGAAAAAATTATCTGTTGAGATTAACCTAATTAATATAATTAATTTCGTCACATATTTACTGAATTAACTAGAAATAATGTAAATTGTAATTTATTTGCAGCAAAGTTTGACTAAATGTTGTTAATTTTTATAAAAATATACAGTAGAGCGTCGATTATCCGAAAGTCAATCATCCGAAAGAATTCCAATCGGCAAATTTAAATTTTCGCCAATGCTGTGGCGCTGCAATTTTTGGATATGTCTTGGGCTACTCAAATATTGTACGTTCTTGATACTAAATTAACTTCTGAATTATAATTTTTTTTATTGTTTTTATATTTCTCAATATATTTATTTTGTTCGTACAAAATAAAAAATTAATTTTTAACGATACAATAGTCTTCGTTAGGCTTAACATCGACGAAAATTCAACGCGAAGCGACAGGCAACGGAGAAAAATGTCAAGATGGGAAAAATTAATGTATTTTTTCGTACATAATCGGTTATCCGAAACATCGATCTTCCGAACAACCATAGTCCCCAATTGATTCGGATAATCGACGCTCTACTGTAATTATATCGAATTGAAGTAATTGTTACTAGCTTTTTTTAATATATGAAATAATTAATTGTAATATATTTATCAATTTTCATACAATCCATCGCTTTAAATGTAGTGTAATATTTTAAGTATATTAAAAATACAAATTTAATTCTAATATAACAGTAACAAATTTTTTCTTAATATTATTATTAAACTGTTTTTTATAGTTTATTTTAACTCAAATGTTTTTATGAAGATAAATAACTGAATAAACCTTTACACTTTAATTAAATTAATCGTCTAAGTCTCTATAAAACATATTCTATTAAATTCAAGTAGCCTAAAGTAATACATACTAGAGAGAAAGACAAGGAACGAAAGAGCGAGGATCAAATTTAGATCAAGTACCTCTCTTGGTCCCGATCTCGCAGTATGACGCTGTATGAGCATTGTTTACGAACCGTCCCCGGATCGGCTGAGGTCTCCTAGTTTTCTCTCTTTTCTTCGAGTCTTACTATGGGCCTGCAACTGTAGAGGTCTGCATGGAGATGTCCGCTGAGCCTGGCGGATTCTCTTCGGCTGTCCGCGCTATGGTTCAAGTGCAACCCCTTTTATTACACGTCCCGGAGGGGGAATAAGTTCGGGGAATATTCTGATGCAATTTCACGTAAGTTTAACTGGGCGGGGAAGGTTTCGATTTCTGACAATTAATATAAACATTTCGGTAGAATTATTACTTTTGCTATCCCGTCTTGTTACTCTTTCTAACTCATAAATTCGATAACAGACTGCCAAACTGACGCAATAAATTGCGGAGGTGACTAAGGTTAAAATATGTATTGCAACCTTATTAATAATTGTACGTTTGGTGGGTTATTCGGTCGTTTTTATCACCGTTAAAATCAGTCGAAGTAATAAGTGAGGGGAATGGTTCGGTTCGGACTCCACTTGCGGTGACCTTTCAAGTTACCCTCTCTCGTATAACGATTTGAGGTTTTTGTTAATTGGCACATTAGTCTGTAACTGGGCACGAAGGTGCAAATGAATTATCCTCGGGAGAGGGGAGAAGTTTGGCAGTTGTTCGAGATGACTTTGAAAGAAGGGAAAGTCAATTATCGATGTGATGTTTAAAGTCGAGGTTAAAGGCCCTTCTGGAGACTGGAAAACAAAGGGAAATAATGATGAAAGACGAGAAAAAATTATAATGTTTTAAGTTTTAAAACTCTCAATAGAGAGTTTAAATACTCACATGAGAGTAACCCATAGGATTCAGCTGTGGTTTTCTCTCGTGCATTTTTCTGGTATGTAAAATCATTTGAACTCTTTAATAACGTAACTTTTTTTCTGGGATAAAGGTGAAACTTTTTCAAAAATAAACTTACTTTTACTTTCCCCAACTCTGTTATTTAGAACAAAAGGAAAGTATGCAGATCAGTCAAAAATGACCCCCCTCAATAGTTTTACTCAGGAGAACTTAAAATGTCAAGAAATGCAATAAACTGGAAGGGTTTTTTTTGTATGAACGGATGTTAGTGTGTATATCACGATTATGTTTACTAAGTTTGAAGCTTATTAACTCCTGTGCTTTTTGTCGAAAATTTCTGAGATTTTTCAAGAAGATTTGATTATTGAGAGGTTGATGCTATTAAAGTTCGGCGATTAAATCAAAATATTCGTTATATTAATTGATTTCGGAATAGAAAACAAATTGAATAGTAAAAACAATAAAATATGCTTCCATAATTTCTTCACTTTTTATTATTTCTGATTCTTTAACTCCAATTTCTTTTTTCTGTTAGATCTGTTAGAAAAACAACTTCCTGTTTTTGCTGTTGTCCTTTGCTAATTTATAGTATCAATGTCACCTGATTGAAAAGTAATAATTATTTGATCTATATTAGATTAAGTAAATGTGTTCTTTCTCTTCCGTTTTTGATTCAATTGGATTAGCTTTAGAGACTCATTTGATCAAGAACATCCTAGAAGTGTACCTGTTTTCTGGTGAAAAAGTATATGTATTAGCGTTTTCCATGACCTATCATTAACTATTGCTTTTTAATTTTATTTTGCCCCTAAAGACTACCGATTATTTGAGAATCTACCATTCAGCAAGAATATAGAAAATAGTAAATGCATAATGTTGAATAGAAAGTGCAGCATTCTGTAAATTTTTTTCTATGTCCAGTAACGTTGTGAAACAGCACCTGTATCTTCTTTTTGACAAATTGTATTATACTTAAATTTTGTGTTAGTTTCCTTTACAAAAATATCACCTTTTATCCCTTATCTGTTGCTAAATGAATACAATGTCCATTAGTTTACAGCATAAAATATATTCAAAATCTCTGGCAATCCTTACGATTTTATATGGATTAACTTTTTTCTCAACCCAGTAGCTCCCAAAACAATCGTTAGTCTATTTCTATTACTTCCTCCATAATGCTGTTATGGAATGGATCGAAAGTTGTAGGAAAAATTATGTTATTCCTTCATGAAACTTTTTATATTTAACCGGTTTATTACGTTTTCAATTTGATGTGTATTTGATTTTATCTATTTCACTGGTTACCCTTAATACTGTTTGTTACATTTTTCCATTCATATCGAGACTTAGGAATATCTATTTTTCGTACAAAATAGATGCATCAATGTTTGGAGAAACGCTTTGACTGATTACATATACGTAAATTACAACCTCGTTGTCAGAAATCTTGTGGTCATTTTCTCTGCTGTCAATATTCATAACGATGCATAAACGATTTTCACAGTTCGGTTTGTTTGTCCAAAATTTGCAAGTTTTTTCTGTTGCAGGATCATCTACTGTTCTTATTATCACCGTAGTTTTGCTAGTTAATCGAATTTCAGTTTTTTTGCTGATGGCTGCCTGATATATCCGAGCAAATATATCGCATTGTTGGGACATCATTCTTAATTATTCAAAAGAAAAGTTTAACAACAATTGACAGACCAACAAAGGCAAAGTGTATAAAACCAGTGAAACACTGGTAGATGGTTATCAGTTCGTGCTTCTCCAGCAGCCTGACCACATGGAGTTATACCAGTCTTCTTAACATTGTTAACACTTAAATTGAGGCCAGTTTTCCATAAAAAG